ACAATTCAAGTGTAATCGCTTCGAATTAAGCTTAAAAAGTAGGGTAAACAAAAGGGTAATGGTAGTACTGATAGCTAAAAAGGTATTAAATCGATTACCAACAATGAGGGGGAGGATTATAAAGTTAATGGTAGCATTGATAGCCACAATTACTGATTTTCACACACAAAAAAAAAAAAAAAAAAGGGAAGTTACCAAGTCATCGATGACCAAAAAACTAGTTAAAGTTTGGATCCATGGAACATGTTGATGGTCTCAAGTTTAGGATCAAAGTTAACATCACTCGCGAAAAATTAATGAAATTGTTGTTTCTGTATGTATAGATCATCAAATGAATAAAGGATCTGATCATATTTTGAGGAAAATTATTGTCAGTAACTCTTAAGAACTATTTTTTTAAAGGAAAAAATAAGAAAATATCTTAACAATGTTTACCAAAAAATCTATAATTAGATATTTTAATTACAATCCAGGTGAAGTAAGAATAGAAAAGTTATCGTTAAGTATATCATAATTCTTGTGGCTTTATGAATACCTAATCATTTTAGTTGTTTACCAAGTAAAGGATATTGCCTACATCTCCAAAAATCTCTTTAATTTTTTTTCTTTCCAAATAACATTATTCTATCATCTTTCAGTTCTCTGTTTTAGAAATTAATCAATTAAGAACTGTGTTTTCTTCAATTTCAAGGAACTGAAGAACAAAACTTATATGATGATGAGTCGTGAAGATAGGGAAAAGAGTCACAAGCGTAATGTTAAGTCTCCTAACATAATTTGGGAAGAGATTAAACCAGTGATAAGAGATTGAAATGAAGAAATCGAATTTTTAACTTAGTTTTGATGGATTTTATTCAATTTGAAAACTAATAAAAGAAAGCAAAATTAACCAATCATGACGAAGAAAAATTTGTTTATGCTTGCACTTTGTTAGGTTTTACGACTGTCGAAAAGGCAGAAATCATGGTTTCGAAGGCAGTAAGATCAAGATGAATATATAAAATATTATGAAGAGAAAGTAATTGAGTTGAAGAAGAGTCATAGGAAACCATCTTTATCGATTCATTTTTTGTTGCTCGGCTTGTCAATAAAATTCAAGACACGATTCACTTTTTGTTCATATCTCAAGTGAAACTGGTAATACAGAAGAAAATTTTCGCTATTGATTTGAATATTCATCACGACCATCTCTCGATGCTAGAGAATCAAATTGTTGATAAGAAATTTCTCAATGAACAACACAACTAAGAATTCAAGCTTTGCGGATCACTAGGAGTGAAAATAAGTGATCATAGTTTGAAAATGCATGATGAATTAGGTTTTACCAAGTGCAAGTCTGCAAGAAGCTTTTAATGTGTTAAATAGTGATTGAAAGAAGATTATAGAGAGAAATGAATACTCTTTTTGTTAAGGATATAATTCAAGTGTGGTCATCGAGTTAAGATTGACGCAGAGAATTTTATCTATGACGAAATCTCTACTTTGAAATTGATAAGCTTAAAAGAGATGGGAAAGAAAAGGATAATGGTAGCACTGATAGTCGGGAAGGCTACAATCGATGAAGGGAGAAAAATATTGTTAATGGTAGCATTGTTAGTCAGAATTACGGATTTTCATCAAAATAAAAAATAAAATAAAAAATCCAGGAAGTTACTAAACCGTCAACGACCAGGAATAATAGGAAACTATTGAATCATCAATGCCAAAAACTAGTCACAGTTTAGGTTGCACTAGTATGTGTTTAGAGTTTGTAGTGAACGTATCTTAAGTTTTGTTCATGAAAAATTTGGTTATATCCCCTAAGTGCATACTAGATATTTGTCTGTAATACCTATATTGTGCACTTGGAGAACCCTAGGGAGATGTTGTAGAATTTTTTACAATCCGAAATAGTTGTGTGAATTGCAAACCGCAACACAGAAAGTGCACTTTCAAATAAGATAGGATCATTAATGGAGGCATAAGAGGGGTTAAGCGTATATCAAATCATTATAATGACTAAATTCTTTGAAAAAAGAATAATGGACAGAGTTATCAAGTTGTCGGATAGAAGTAACCAATATTTGGATGGGATTGACAACTTTATTCAATTTGCAAGCAACTATATCAATGCCCAGAATTGTATGAGATATCATTGCGTGTAATATAACAACTGTTTGGATGACACTGAACAAAGTCTGATATCATTTGTTTATGAATGATATGATATACACTTACTCCAATTGGACTTATCATGAAGAATTGATCATTACAATATCAACATCTTTAGGCAGTGGGACAGTTAAGCATGAATAATCTTCATCATGTCATGTTGATGGCGACCAAGTGATGGACATATTGAATGATGATTTCCTTAGTGCTTCGCTTGTCCATAGGTTTCGAGAAGTAAGATAAAATGTTGATGGAAGCACATCGAGAATTATACATGGTTGTGAATATTTTTCCGTCCTAACAGCCGTTGCACATGAAAATAAAGTGTAATATGACCAATTGGAACTACGATACGACGAAGGGGTTTGTTAAACGTATGCTTTTGAAATCAAATGTATTGCCTGTAAATCATTCTAGCTCAAAGGAGATCTTAAGTTGGGATATGACAAGATCCATGCATGCAAGAACAATTGTGTATTGTTTTACGATGAATTCAATAAGTTAAATAATTGTCCCAAGTGCAATGAGCCGAGATATTGAAAAACCAAGATTACGAACAAGGTATTGCATTATTTTCCATTTACGCCAAGATTACAAAGTTTGTCATGCCAACCCCACATTGCACGTGATATAAGGTTGCATAAGGATGAACAGGTTGATAACGATGTTTTGTAACATTCGGGCAATGGCAAAGTGTGGAAAGAATTGATAAAATCTATCCAGTTTTGCCGCAGAGCCAAGAAATGTTAGATTAGGACTTGCTTCTAATGACTTCAATCCGTTTAAGAATTTTTCAAATGAGAACAACACTTCAGTTGTGGTTGTTCTTCCTTATAATTTTCTCTTAGTGGTAATTCCATTGATGTTTATTTGCAACTGTTGATTGATGAGTTGATAGATTTATGCACAAATGGTGTATAAACGTATGACATGTCTATTGGGGAAATGTTCACCTTGCAATTCACAATCATGTGGATAATTAATGATTTCCCAGCTTATGGTAAGTTGTCGAGATGGAGTACCAAATGCTATATGGCATACCCAACATGCGGCGACGACATATCGGCATTTTGGAACGTTGGAAAGGTATGTTACTTAGGTCACCAAAGATGGATTTCCTGAGATCACAAGTGACGTAACATGCCTGAAACATTTGATGGGACAATGGAATATATACCTAGACCAAGAGACTTGTTCGGAGATGAGATATTGTCGAAGTTGAATACACTCCTATTTGAGGGAGAATAGGGACCAATGGAACAGATGAATTGGACAAAAAAAAAAAGTATATTTTTTGACTTGGAATACTGGTCAAAATTAAAATTCCAACACATTGTTGATCTCATGCATAATGATAAGAATGTTTGCGACAATATGGTGAGAATGAATTTGCCTATCGAGGGAAAATCAAAAGGCACAATGAAGACTCTTATTGGCATTAAGCAATGGGGATAAGATCCAACCTCTAACCTACATTAATCAATGGTTAATACATGAAAAAGAAGGCTAATTATACTTTCAAGCTAGATGGAAGTATGTGTTACTGAAGTGGCTCCAAGGTGTGGAATTTTCAGTATGCTAGCAATATATCAAGACACGTTAAAATGGACATTGGAACACTGTTGGGTTTGAAGAGTCATAACTCTCATGTCTTACTACCTCAGCTCCTTCCGATTGGTATTTAACCTACTTGGATCCCAAGGTTGTTGAGATGATTGTATGTTTGTCTCGGTTCCTTCCAGCAACTATGTGCTAAAACATTTAGAAAGTCGGTCGCAAATGAAATGAACAAAGATATTAGGTTCATCCTATGCTGGCTAGAGCAAATATATCCATCGACATTTTAAACCAATTGTTAGTAAAAAAAAATCAAGTAAATTATTATTTTTACAGAAAGCACTTTAAGTGTTTTTTAACATAGAAATATTTTTTCTAAAAGCGCTCATAGCAATTTCAAAAGTTTTTTCAAATTATTTGTAAAAGTAGAGACTTGGATCCGAGTATTTATTGGGTATTTGCAAATAGGTCCTTCATTCTTCAAATTAAACGCTGTCGTGTCCTTTCTCCCTCCATTCTCTGCAACCACGTACCACAACGGCACAGCCGCTGCCCCGCTCGCTCCCCTTTCCCTTTCCATTTCGCCAGCCACCTAACCTATTACCCGATCAACACGTAAACTCTCCATTCTCTCCTTAACTGTGCGATCCCAAACAATGTGATAGAAAAATAGGGGCAACGCATAGGAAAGAGGGTTTAGGGTTTAGGGTTCCACTGATCCAACTGTAAGTCCTCTTCCTCCTCCTCCTTCTTCTGCTTGTTTTTCTAACTTAGGGATTCAGGAATTAAGATTCAATTAATTTGCTATATTTTGATTTAGGGATTTAAATAATGTCTAATTTCTGAGCTGTGGCTCTGTGAATTATCGAGTGCACTCAATTGTTTTTAATTGATATTTGATAAATTTATTTTCAATGGACATTGTGTGTGGTTGCTTGATAATGTAGTTGAAGATGAAGTATGTGCCAGTCAGAGGTTTCTACAGCATCTGTGAAATGGTTGAAAAATGCTGCGTCTTCTTCTGGGTTTATGGGTTTCATCTTAACCTGCACAGTTCAGTTCAATCATAGAATGTTCGTTCTTTTTAGTGGCTTACGGGGTTGATCACCTGTACAGAATGTAGACGGGAATGAGAGAGCGAAAGAACGAAGAAAATTCTTTGGATTTTCAATTTAGAGATTTTAGGAGTTTCTAGACCAAACTAATTTTGCTTCAATTTCAGCTTCAGGAAAGTTTCACCTTGGAATATAATCTGTCCTTTTAACTTCAAGTTTCTTTTTTAAACATTTTTTATTTGCTTTTTGACCATCGCATCCTTGCAACTGCAACTTTGTTCTCAATCGGTGCTTTGTGGTGGTCAACAAGGAAGTTTGACATCCATCCGGCAGTTCGATCTTTGATTGGAAGTGCTGTTGGCATGGCTGGCCTTCAGGTATAAATGGTGTCCAACTTCCCATTCATTTTTATTCTCTGTTTAGATCAGAAGATAGTTCTCCTTCGAATGATTTCGTTAGTATGATCATGTTGGTTAACGTTGCCTTATACAATTACGCTTGTGTTGGTGTAGGTCACTCTGGGGATATCTACACTGCTGTCCTATGTGCCTGTGGAGCTTGGCACAGCGCATCAAGCCGGGGCTTTGACTCTCTTGACACTAATGATCCTTCTCAATCATACCTTGCGTAGGCCATCGGCGTCCCTTCTCAAATCACTACCTCAAGTTGCAAAGACAATCTAGATGACTTTGCAGTTCAATTTTGTAACGATTGGACGTTTTAATTGGGTCAAACATTATTTCTTCGGTTCTTGTGTTATACGTATATCACCCGCTTTCAAGCTGGGGATTGTTTTGCAAATGAGCAGAAATGTTCTGTTGTGGTTGGAAATAAATTTCAGATTGCAATAGTGATCCCTCGGCGTTTTCTAGTAGTATAGACGGCTTTGGGCTACCCAGTGGGTATCACCACCACAGTAACGGTAAGCTTTTCTTCTTTTTGGTTTTGGTTTTTATTTTATAAAACTTGATTTTTTTTTTTAATATGAAATTTAGAAAAGAAGATTTGTATTGGTAGACTAATTAAAAGAAAATAGGGAAAGTTACAAGGTAGTTGTATCGTATATGTCAATCATATTCTATCAACCTCAATTGCAAAGAAAAACAATCATCGTATCCATTCAAAAAGCAAACAAATGGATAAGCTTTTTCAAGTTCCAAAACCTTTTAAAACTTTTCTCTATAGCCAATGGAATATCCTTTCTAATGAACCAAGTACGCTCCTTGAAAAAGCGCTAGGCTTAGTTACAAACTTGGCAATAAAGTTTCACAAAAGAAACAATATGGGCATACATCCATAAAGTGTAAAGGAATTCGATTTAGTTTGGTTAGGTTTGGTTTTCGAACCTCCAAAACTGAAACTGAATCAATAAAGTTTGGTTCGGTTCGGTTCGGTTTTTCCATTTTCGATTCTGTTTTTTACAGTTTCGGTTTTTTGAATCCACCCCTAGATTACACTATCATCGTAGCATTATGTGTAAAAAAAAAAAAGAAAGAAAGATTAATACTCATAAATTTTTAGTTAAGTTGAATCAAATCCAAAGATGAATAATTCAATTTTGTATATTATTTACTGGTTCCACAAATTTGGCCTGTTCCCTTCTTCCGGGTTCGCACCTATAAACATTAGCAATATGGTCGTTCAGCAATCCATCGCTTCCACCCATTTTTTTTAGACATGGCAAGGTGCCAATACACCCTCCACCCATTGTTGTGAGTCATGGCAATTGGAAATCATGGTTGGGGCAATGACATTTCTAGACTCAAGTCCAGCCATAGCAGTATGATGTCATTCATGTGAACATGCAACGTGGGACTTGGTCAAAAGCTGAAATGAAACGGTATTTCTCACGTGACACTTTTCTGGCCTTTCGATTTGAACAATAACTTTAGTTTAATGATCTATGTTTTTTGATAAATGAAAACTAACAAATAATCATTGAAAGTATAAAAAATTTCAAATAAATCCTTCCATCACGGGAAATAAAATATAGACACGTAGTGCAACTATAGGCTATAACAACCTATTCTAAATTAATCTTATCCATTGAATAATTATTAAATAATTGATTATATATAAAAATAATCATTATGAATAGTAACTGCCACGTCTAAAACTATTCAGAATGGGTGGAGAGTTAATTAATCTTTGTTAAGGCAGTTCACTATTCATGTGAATAGTAACTCTCTCAACTCTTTAGCCATTCAAAATAGGTGGAAATGTTCTTAATCAAGGTACAATTCCCACTTTTCTTGTATTAAGTTGAATATTAAAATGTTAGGCAGTAAGTTGGTAAATTCTTCAATGCTACGTAAAATTGAATATACAAAAAATAAATGGCAAACATTGAAACTAAAAAAATTTAATAATTGTTAAAATCAAATGTAACTATGAAAACACTCATAGCGTTGAAGACGAACTTTTATAAGCTTTTCTCTTTTCGATTGCGGATCATAAACATAACATTACTGACACATCACATAATTTATAAATATAATTTAAAAAAAAAACAATTGTTATTAGCATTTTAAAAACATTTTCATTAAAAAGTGAATTTCCAATTTATCTCATCATCAGTAGTATCTCGACAGAACAGTGCTTCGGCCGCTCCACGGAACCAGGCGCCGCCTTTCCAGCCTCCTCTTGTATCCTCTGCTCTCTAACTGTAAGTCCTCCGCCGCCGCCTTCTCCTCCTTCTTCTGCTGCTTCAAATTTCAATACTCCACCGAACCTCTGACCTCACCACCTCCTAGCCCCTACTTCTCTTCTTGTCGCCATCTAATTTCACTTTTGTTTTCTGAATTCGTATTTGGGGATTTAGGAGTTAGGGATTCAGTTAATTTGCTAAATTATTCAATTAAGTGATTCAATTATTGTTATTTGTGTGCTGTGGCTTTGTGAATTGTCAAGTGGATCCTTTGTTTTCAATTGATCTTTGTATGATTTTATTTTGAATGGGCATGGTGGTGTTGTACTTGATAATGTAGATGAAGGTGTAGAAATACATAATCACGCCGCTCGGAGAGTTTCTACATCTGGGTTGGGGCCCTGAGAAATGGTTGACAATTGTTTCTTCTGGGTTTATGGGTTTCGGTTGATCTGGTTTCAATTTAACCTGCACTGTTCAGTTCAATCATAGAATTTTATTCTTATTAGTGGCCAACGAGTTTGATCACCCGTCCGTAGAATATGTAGACCCAAATGAGAGAACGATAGAACCCGGAAGAAAATTCTTTGGAATAGGAGTTTTTAGACGAAACTAGGATTTTGCTTCAGCTTCAGCTTCAGGAAAGTGTCACTTTGGAATTATAGTCTGTCCTTCCAAACTTCTTTTTTGTCAACGTCTTTCCAAGCTTTTTAAGGTTCTTAAGATTCTCCATTTTTTTTTTTTTTAGGGATTTAAGGATTTTTTTTTTTAAAATTTTTTATTTGCTTTTTGGTCACCCCTTGTATTTGTGACCTTTTCCTGCTTTCTTCATTGATTAAGAACATTATGTTGATGTAGATATCTCACTCAATGTTGTTTTAATCTTAATAATTATATTTTACATATGTTTTTCTCTCTGCAACCAAATTATGTTGGGTACTAAATTGCTTCAGTTGCGAGGCAGTTTACGCCTTTAGTTACCACTTCTGACTACGCAGAATATATTATTTGCAGAAATCCCTTGGAGTTATCAAAACCCCCATCCAAACAGACCTTAAGAGAGCTGAGAGAGAAATGTTTCGGAGTCGAGTGGTAGGGTTGTTTTTGAAGAACAATGGCAAGGCTCTGTACAATATCAAAGGAACGACGCCGTCTAGGGTTCTGAATGAGGAGTCCTTCAGATTACTCTCAACGGGAGTCACAAGGAAATGCTTGGATGGCTTTCGATCCTTGCCCAAGGTTCTTTTGTCTCCTTGTTTTGCTTTTGTTCAATTTATTTTCTGAAAGTAAATTCGAATGAAAAAAAAGCTACAATTTGGTGATTGAGAATTGAGAATTTTATTTATGCACTGAATTTTTTTCGAGAATTTTACTGTCAGCTGTTGAGGAGTTGATTTAGAGATTGGTTTTGAGTGTTGAAGAATAGGGTCCTACTGGAAATGTAACCAACGAGGAAATATAGTGATTGTGATTGGAATTATTAAGTCTTGAAATAAGCATGTACTATATATAAAATTGGAGGAGTTGGGAGTTTGCTTTCTGGGTTAAGGATGTTTCATCTAGAATGTCGACCAATGCATGAAACTAAGTGAATATTTACATTGCTGCACAAGTGCTTTAAAGCTAGAGTAGATGATTATAGCCTCCATTTTGTTAAAAAGAAAATTTGTAATAAATAATGAATCCGGAGCACCTACATCTATGTTACTGTGGTAAAAAACTCTTAAGAATGTTTACGTTGTGTGGGACTAATGACCCTTGATTGCTGTGTATACTAAAGTCTATATTAAACAGCGCATTTGAGGAGGGGGAACCTAAAATATAATAGGCATTGAGACTACCCAAGTATGTTCAAGTTAGAGTCATGGAAGTCGGTCTTAGCATATCATTGAAGTCCCTTGCTTTTAATCTTTAATTTCTATGGAAGTTGGTCGTAGCATATCATTGAAGTCCTTTGCTTTTAATCTTTAATTTCTATGGTTTTGATATCACTGTTTTGAAGTAACTCTGTTTTCCATGATCAATGCATGCATTAATGTACCAAAATAAAAAGGTAATTTCTTATGCCATTTTCAGGGTAACTATGTACCATCTATAAGGAATATGTCCACTGTGGCTTCCGTAGGCATTCAAAATAAGGAGGGATTGAAGCTTCTTGTAAATGGAGGACCTCATGCTCAGAAAATGGTTGGCATTTGGCTTTTTGGCTCTGCTGCATGGGTTTTTAGTATGGTGATACTTGGCGGTATTACACGACTTACACGATCTGGTCTTTCAATGACTGATTGGAAATTTACTGGGGGTCTCCCGCCTCTCTCAGATGAGGATTGGCTACTTGAGTTTGAGAAGTACAAGCAGTCCCCGGAGTATAAGCGGTTAGTGTAAACTGAAACTAAGACTGCACATTAAAAGCCTTCCGGAATTACTGAAGTTGGCGCAGATGCAATCATTTCCTTACTGATGTTAAAACAAAATATATGTGCTTTTAAGGACTTTATTACTTACGATAATTCTAATGTTCATGTGTCCTTCTAGCATTTTTTATTTTTTGTTTACCCAGATTTGTAGGATTGACTAATTACATAATTTATGTTGTTTTGAATGGTGGTTGAAGTTCTTATGGACCCTTGTGATGTTACCTGGTTCTTGACTGCAGTGTAAATCGAGGGATGAGTATTGACGATTTCAAATTTATCTATTGGATGGAATATGCACATCGTATGTGGGGAAGGGCACTGGGTATTATGTTTGCCTTGCCATTCTCATATTTTCTTCGTAAGGGGTATATTACCTTACAGCTTGGAGCGAGACTCTCGACTCTTTTTGCCCTTGGTGCTGGGCAGGGTTTAATTGGCTGGTGGATGGTTAAAAGTGGTTTAGAGGTTAGATATATGTTTATTTGTTTATTTGGTTTGGATTGGAATGTAGTTAATGATGGATCTTTAAATAATTATGTCTCTCACAGGAGCCACCATCTGAGTATGCTCAGCCAAGAGTAAGCCCTTACCGTCTTGCAGCTCATCTTACTTCAGCCTTTGCTATATATTGTGGCCTTTTATGGACTGGTCTTTCTGTTGTCATGCCCGAACCACCTGCTGAATCTCTAGCTTGGGTACGTGGGGCAGCAAAGGTGAAGCAACTTGCTCTCCCTGTAAGCTTACTTGTTGGAGTAACTGCTGTCTCAGGAGCATTTGTTGCCGGGAATGATGCTGTATGTAATTGTTCATCTTCTTGAATTTCACAGTCAACTAAATGGATGATATGTGTCTTTTCCAAAGTTGGAGATTACATATATATATTCTTCTATGTACAGGGGCATGCCTATAATACTTTTCCAAAGATGGGGGATACATGGATCCCAGAGGATGTGTTTGAAATGAAGCCACTCATCCGGAACTTCTTCGAGAATACATCTACTGTGCAGGTCGCTTCTGTGGCCAAAGAATACAATTTATTTTGGATTTTGCACCTTAATAACATTATTTCTTTATGTTAGCTCCTAGGCTGCTTTTATAATGATGAGGAAAATTAAAGCATTACAAAAATATAATGATGGCAAGTGTCTTCGCCCATGAGCGGTAGGTCTCGGGTTCGAGACTTAGGAGCAGCCTCTCCATAAATGGGGGTAAGGCTAGCCGACATTCACCTCTCCCAGACCCTGCGTAAAGCGGGAGCCTTGTGCACTGGGTACGACCTTTTACAAAAATATAAAAATCAAACAACTGGAAAGAGGCCTTATTTTGAGTTTTTTTCCCTTCACGAAAAACTAGCCTCTGCTTTTTTTGTGAGCTTATATTGTGTTTTGTTGTAAATTTGTTTCTTTAGGTGACTGCTTTGTGAAATTATAGAATTGTTAAATTTTATGTTGTATATCAGTTTCTTGAAGATGAAAAGTTATAGCCATCAGCATTTCATTATTATAGCTCCACATCTATATTTGTTCTCGAAACTTCGGTATTTCAAGAATCAACAATTTTTATGACTAAATTGTTTTTCTTCTCTGATTGTAGCTTGACCATCGCATCCTTGCAACTGCAACTTTGTTCTCAATCGGTGCTTTATGGTGGTCAACAAGGAAGTTTGACATCCATCCGGCAGTTCGATCTTTGATTGGAAGTGCTGTTGGCATGGCTGGCCTTCAGGTATAAATGGTGTCCAACTTTCCATTCATTTTTATTCTCTGTTTAGATCAGAAGATAGTTCTCCTTCGAATGATTTCGTTAGTATGATCATGTTGGTTAACGTTGCCTTATACAATTACGCTTGTGTTGGTGTAGGTCACTCTGGGGATATCTACACGCTGCTGTTCCTAATGTGCCTGGTGGAGGGCTTGGCACAGCGCATCAAGCGGGGCTTTGACTCTCTTGAGACACTAATGATCCTTCTCAATCACACCTTGCGTAGGCCATCGGCGCCCCTTCTCAAATCACTACCTCAAGTTACAAAGACAATCTAGATGACTTTGCAGTTCAATTTTGTAACGATTGGACGTTTTAATTGGGTCAAACATTATTTCTTCGGTTCTTGTGTTATACGTATATCACCCGCTTTCAAGCTGGGGATTGTTTTGCAAATGTGCAGAAATGTTCTGTTGTGGTTGGAAATAAATTTCAGATTGCAATAGTGATCCCTCGGCGTTTTCTAGTAGTATAGACGGCTTTGGGCTACCCAGTGGGTATCACCACCACAGGTACGGTAAGCTTTTCTTCTTTTAGGTTTAACCAAACCAGAAAATTCTTAAATTCTAAAAAATAAAATTCTATCATTTCGGAATTCTTTATTAGCTTAAATTTCTTTATCCAAACAGTGGTAGTATTAAACGACAAGTTCATGAGAACAATTTACATGGCAAGATTACAGTTAGGGGTGGGTTCGGTTTCATTCGGTTCGGTTTTTTTTGCCAAAATCGAAATCAACCGAAACTCTAGTTTAGTTTGGTTCGGTTTGATTTTCTTTTGGTTTTTTTCAATTTGATTTTGCTAGGTTTGGTTTTGGTTTTGGTTTTTATTTTATTTTATAAAACTTGATTTTTTTAATATGGAATTTAGAAAAGCGGCTTTGTATTGGTAGACTAATAAAAAGAAAATAGGAAAAGTTGGAAGGTAGTTGTATCGTATATATCAATCATATTCTATCAACCTCAATTGCAAAGAAAAACGATCACCGTATCCATTCAAAAAGCAAACAAATAGATAAGCTTTTCCAAGTTCCAAAACCTTTCAAAACTTTCCTCTATAGCCAATGGAATATCCTTTCTAATGAACCAAGTATGCTCCTTGAAAAAGTGCTAGGCTTAGTTACAAACTTGGCAATAAAGTTTCACAAAAGAAACATTATGGGCATACATCCATAAAGTGTAAAGGGATTCGATTTAGTTTGGTTAGGTTCGGTTTTCGAACCTCCAAAACTGAAACTGAACCAATAAAATTCGGTTCGGTTCGGTTTTTCCTTTTTTGATTCGGTTTTTTACAGTTTCGGTTTTTTGAATCCACCCCTAGATTACACTATCATCATAGCGTTATGTGCAAAAAAAAAAAAAAAGATTAATACTCATAAATTTTAGTTAAGTGACTAAAAATCTAATTGAATCAAATCAAAAGATGAATAATTCAATTTTGTGTATTATTTACTGGTTCCACAAATTTGGCCTGTTCCCTTCTTCCGAGTTCGCACCTATAAAACATTAGCAATATGGTCGTTCAGCAATCCATCGCTTCCACCCACCCATTGTTTTTAGACAATACACCCTCCACCCATTGTTGTGAGTCTTGGCAATTGGCAATCATGGTTGGATGGAGCAATGACATTTCTAGACTCAAGTCCAGCCATGGCAGTATGACGTCATTCATGGAACATGCCACGTGGGACTTGGTCAAAAGCTAGAATGAAACGGTATTTTTCACGTGACACTTTTCTGGCCTTTCGATTCAAACAATAACTTTAGTCTAACGATCTATGTTTTTTGATAAATGAAATCTAACAAATAATGATTGAAAGTATAAAAAAATTTCAAATAAATCCATCAAATTTAAAAAATAAAATTTTAATAAAAAGATTCTCATCACGGGAAATAAAATGTGGACACGTAGCGCAATTATAGGCTATAACAACCTATTCTAAATTAATCTTATCATTGAATAATTATTAAATAATTGATTATACATAAAAATAATCATTATGAATAGTAACTGCCACGTCTAAAACTATTCAGAATGGGTGGTTGAGATTAATTTAATTAATCTTTGTTAGGCAGTTCAGTTCATTCATGTGAATAATAACTCTCTCAACTCTTTTAGCCATTCAAAATAGGTGGAAATGTTCTTAATCAAGCTACAAGTCCCACTTTTCTTGTATTAAGTTGAATATTAAAATGTTAGGCAGTAAGTTGGTAAATTCTTCAATGCTACGTAAAATTGAATATACAAAAAATAAATGGCAAACATTGAAACTAAAAAAATTTAATAATTGTTAAAATCAAATGTAACTGTGAAAACACTCATAGCATTGAAGACGAACTTTTATAAGCTTTTCTCTTTTCGGTTGCGGATCATAAACATAACATTACTGACGCGTCACATAATTTATAAGTATAATTTAAAAAAAAAAACAATTATTATTAGCATTTTAAAAACATCTTCATTAAAAAGTGAATTTCCAATTTATCTCATCATCAGTAGTATCTCGACAGAACAGTGCTTCGGCCGCTCCACGGAACCAGGCGCCGCCTTTCCAGCCTCCTCTTGTATCCTCTGCTCTCTAACTGTAAGTCCTCCGCCGCCGCCTTCTCCTCCTCCTTCTGCTGCTTCAAATTTCAATACTCCACCGAACCTCTGACCTCACCACCTCCTAGCCCCTACTTCTCTTCTTGTCGCCATCTAATTTCACTTTTGTTTTCTGAATTCGAATTTGGGTATTTAGGAGTTAGGGATTCAGTTAATTAATTTTTCGCTTAAAGTTATTCGATTAAGTGATTCAATCATTGTTATTTGTGTGCTGTGGCTTGTGAATTGTCAAGTGGACCCTTTTGTTTTCAATTGATCTTTGTATGATTTTATTTTTGAATGGACATATGGTGTGTTTGTACTTGATAATGTAGATGATAGGTGGTAGAAATACATAATCACGCCGCTCGTAGAGTTGTTACTACATCTTGGCTTGGGGCCCTGAGAAAATGGTGTAAAATTGTTTCTTTGGGTTTATGGTTTCAGTTGATCTGGTTTCAATTTAATCTGCACTGTTCAATCATAGAATTTTATTCTTATTAGTGGCCAACGAGTTTGATCACCCGTCCGTAGAATATGTAGACCCAAATGAGAGAACGATAGAACCCGGAAGAAAATTCTTTGGAATAGGAGTTTTTAGACGAAACTAGGATTTTGCTTCAGCTTCAGCTTCAGGAAAGTGTCACTTTTCTTTGATATAGTCTGTCCTTCCAAACATCTTTTTTGGTCAACGTCTTCCAAGCTTTTTAAGGTTCTTAAGATTCTCCATTTTTTTTTTTTTTTTTTTTTTTTTTTTTTTTTTTTTTTTTTTTTTAGGGATTTAAGGATTTTAACTCCGCCTATGTCTTACATGGCCGGTCCCAAGCCCGGATAAAGGAGGAGGGGGAGGGCGTCAGGTAGTCGACAGCCGGCACTCCATGATCACGTCGAAATCCTTATGAAAATGAATCCAGAACAAAATCGCGCTAAGGCTAAAGCTAGGGCGTCACCCGTAAGTGGCGCGCTGTGTGGCTGAGCACAGTGATAAGTGAGCAAGGGTCGCTGTATCTCCATCGGCACCCGGATGCAAGTGTTAAATGAGCAAGGGGGCCAATAGAACTTCTTTTTCGAACGACTCCACTCAAAGTTGTTTGGGAGCATATGCTCCTATCAACTTTACCCGGGACACACAAAAGAAGTACTTTGATCCTATTAGACGGGGGGAGGGTGAAGAAGCTAGGACAGAAGGGTAGAGTTCAAGAGAGCAAAATGCGTTTAGGAACGTGGAATATAGGAACCTTAACGGGAAAATCTATGGAAGTAGTGGAAGTTATGGTGAGGAGAAGGATAAATATTATGTGCCTACAAGAAACTAAGTGGGTTGGTAGTAAGGCAAAGGATCTAGAAAACTCAGGGTTTAAACTTTGGTATTCGGGCACAAATAGAACGAGAAACGGTGTTGGCATAATCGTGGACAAGACCTTGGTACAAGATGTTGTAGATGTCAAGAGGGTAGGAGATAGAATCATGGCAATCAAGATTGTAATAGGACAAGAACTTATCAATGTGATTAGTGCGTACGCACCTCAAGTAGGGTTGGATACGAGTTTCGAAGGAGAAATTTTGGGAAGATCTTGGAGACTTGGTGCAAGGAATTGCTCAGACGGAGAAAGTTATTTATAGGAGGAGATTTAAATGGACACGTGGGCAGGGAGACAGGCAACTATGGAGGTTTTCATGGTGGCCATGGTTTTGGGGAGAGAAACGAGGATGGGGAAGCTATCTTGGATTTTGCAATGGCATATGATCTCTCTTCTTAGCCAACACCTTCTTTAAGAAGAGAGAAGAACATGTGATCACCTACAAGAGTGGGTCGTCAAAAACACAAATAGATTTTTCTTCTAATGAGGAAAGGGGATCGTATAACTTGTAAGGATTGCAAAGTTATACCAGGAGAGAGCGTGGCTAATCAACATCGCTTGTTGGTGATGGATGTACATATCAAAAGAGTAAGACAAAAGAACAAGACTTGGAAGTGCCCAAGGACTAGATGGTGGAATCTAAAAGAAGAAAAACAAGCCATTTTCAAAGAGAAGGTAATCACCCAATGTGTGTGGGATAGAGAGGGGGAAGCTAGCCAAATGTGGGATTCCATGGCTAGTTGTATCCGAAAAGTAGCAAAAGAGGTAATTAGGAGAGTCCAAGGGCTTTGCCCCACACCAAAAGGAATCTTGGTGGTGGAATGAGGAGGTACAAACAAAGGTGAAGGCTAAGAATGAATGTTTAAAAGCCTTATACAAGGAGAGGACTGATGAAAATGGTGAAAGGTATAGAAAAGCGAAGCAAGAGGCGAAGAAAGCTGTCAGAGAAGCTAAGTTAGCGGCTTACGACGATATGTATAAACGACTAGATACCAAAGAAGGAGAGTTGGATATCTATAAACTATCTAGAGCAAGGGAAAAGAAGACAAGGGACCTAAACCAAGTGAGGTGCATCAAGGATGAGGATGGAAAGGTTCTTGCTACAGAGAACGCGGTTAAAGACAGATGGAGATGTTATTTTCATAATCTTTTCAATGAAGGACATGAAATGAGTGCTTCTTTATGGGAGTTGAGTAACTCAGAAGAGTGTAGAAACTACTCTTTTTATCGTCGAATCCGGAAGGAAGAAGTGGTTGTAGCTTTGAAGAAGATGAAGCATAAAAAAGCAATAGGCCCAGACGATATACCAATCGAAGTGTGGAAACTTTTGGGAGAGACAGGTATAACATGGCTCACTGACCTTTTCAATAGGATTTTGAAAACGAAGAAGATGCCAAATGAGTGGCGAATGAGCACTTTGGTGCCTATCTACAAGAATAAGGGCGACGTACAAAATTGCAATGAACTATAGGGGTATTAAGCTAATGAGTCATACAATGAAGCTC